AGCTCCGACGTGCCAGCGGCGGACGCCCGGCCCGCGCGCTCACGCCGCATCTCCGGGGTCGGCACGAGCGGAGCGCCGTCGCGCCGACCCGCTCCATGAGCATGGCACAGCTTCGAGCTCCGACGTGCCAGCGGCGGACGCCTGGGCCGCCGCCACCCGTCGCCGCCGTCCTCGAGCGGCCCACCGCCTATCGCTGGGTGCATCTTCCCATGACACGGGCGACGGCTGCGGTGGCGCGCCCGCCTCCTTTGTTCCTGCAGCAGCCGGACCTGGCGGCGCGCGAGCGGCAGCGCCGCTAGTTAGCTTAATTGCAGAGCCAGCGCAGCGGCCGCGGCCGGTGCGTGCCAATTACCGGGGATCAGGCGGCCCCCGCCCGGCCGGCCACCCCCCGCCAGACACAATCTAATGAGGCGCAGTTTTTGCCGCGATGCTACCCCGATCTGGTGGCTCCCACCGTTGGGATATGACAGCGTAATAGGAGTTTCTCGGCGGCGGGAATGATGAGAACTCGTTTGGGGGCGGTTTGGGGTCAAATTGAGCCCGGGTAATGGCTGCAGCCGATTACAGATGGGCCCTGATTGAGCTTTAGATCGCCGCAGACGAGGGAGGGGACGTACCGGCGGTAGCGGCGGGTCGGCGGGCCGCGACCGCGCCGAACAGTGGACTGGCCGCCAGCCAGCAGGTAATTGCCTCAGCACGGGGAAATGCGTGGGAGTAAAAAGTGCCTTTCTTTCCCAGCAGCGCTCGCTGTTGACTCAAAACGGACGCCACTCATTGGTGTTTGCCTTCTTCCTTCCTGTTTGACTTGCCCTTGTCACCTTTCTCCTCACTGTCAAACGCGCACCCCTGTCAATATTTTTCGTTTGTGTTCTAAACAGACCTTTCAGCAAGTCGAAGTGATAAGGCAGCGGGCAGTGTGTTGTGGCTGCGTTACCACCGGCCCTCATTGTTGACCCCGTCAAGCCAGCAATTCTCAGCTGTTTATTCTCTGTGAATTGTCAAGCGTTTCCCATGACCTTGCCTATGTCACTGAGGTGTGAATGTTTTTATGAACTCAACAGGCCTGCTTCTTTTCTGGTACCTCGGACACCCACTGTCGGCATGCTGCACCCTTTTATTGCCTACCTCTATATAACAATAACTACGATGTGTGAACGGCCGACCTCCATGGTGCCGTGAATGACGCCCGCTGGGATTGTTCAGCCGCATATCTGACCGTCACGACGACGTCACACGGCTGACGCTTGGCTAGAGTTACCTGTCCTGTCATATCCTAGGCTTCAGTCACGCTTGAGCTATCTCCATGTATTGCCAGTGGGTGCGGCTTGTACCCGATCGCTTTGACTAATACGTGCCGTTCTCGTCCTGTCGTCAAGAGCTTGATATTCTCCTGTTATTCCGACCTCATCCAGCCCGATCCTGAGCCCGTGGCCCTACATCACCTGACCTGAAGGTAGTACGCTCCTGACGTCACCGCTGCAGTAGTTATCTCGCCTGGCCCCTCGCCGACATCGGGACCCACCTGACCCGACCTGACCGCTGGTTGACTTGGCCGGGCGGCGACCGCGCGCTCCGCAGCCGAGATCCTCCCCGATCCGAGGTTAATTGTCCACTTCGCCAATGCTAATGCGGCCGACTCTGATTCGAACGAGTGAAATGTAAATAGACGGTCCCGGAATGTTTCAATGACCCGATCCATCACATTTAGACGGCCGCTGGGGCAGAGGGGATGTGTCCGACGGCGAGGCGGCGGGCCGCCGGGCCGGGCCGGCAGTCAGCAGTCCGCCGCCGCCGCCGCCGCCGCCGCCGCCGCCGCCGCCGCCGGGCGCTAAGCTGGCGGCGCGGACAGGGGGTGGCGTGCCGGTGCAGCGACCCGCGCCTACAAGCACGCTCCATGTCAGCCGGCGCCGCCGCCGCCGCCGCCGCCGCGCTGCTGTTTTGACGGACCGAGTCCGGTGCGGGCCGCAAAAATGCGCCGCGTGTCGGGATGGGGGGCTCGGCGGCGGTGACATGTCACGAGCAGCCGCACCGACCGCCTGTCACGTTGTATACTTGTCAGGAGCGCAGTAAGGGCAGGGGGAGAGGAGGGAGAGGGTTTTGCTGACCTCACCCCTGCTCGCACCGACGACACGTGTCGGTCATTAGCTCGGCCGAGCGTGGCGGATTCTGCGCCCACCTCAGCCCGCGCAGAGCCGGCCAAAAGCGGCGCCGCGTGGGCTGCGCGGTGCGTCGTGAGTGGTGATCTGCCAGGACGGGCGGGGTCTGTGGGGCGCGGCGCGTGACTTCTCGAGGACAATCGTCCTTGCTTCTAGGGACGCGCTACAGGACGTGCTACTAGGAACGTGTTTGGAGCTTTTCATGCCTTTGGAGGGCCACCTCCCTCCAAATGTTTCTAAGCTGCAACACGGTACGTATGGGCGTTGTGCAAGGCGGTTGACCCATGTGGTTCCCTGTAAATTTCTAAGTCAAGTCATAGTTAATCCAGTGTGATGCCACGGCATATGATGGCATGTCTTTCAAGGACGCGGAGGGCACCAACACCTGGCCATGACGCCACAGTTCACGGACCGTGTTTGTAATGGTCGAATGCGGGGATTATTGCAAATTTTTTTGGTAGATTGTCGGAATAATCTGTTGGATAGAGCATTTTTGGTGAAGGAGTTGGTATTAAGTGCATACGTTACCAGAAGATACCTTAGCAGATAAGCCGCACACTGTCCATCGGTCTGTACCGGTAGCTCAGTTAGCTAGAGCACCCACCTTCCGATTCACCTATGCGTAGCGAGATGAGATCGATTCCTTTCAGGCGCTCATCATTTGTCCCTAACTGGGCTAGTCTGCGGCCGGTGTCAGCGGCCGTGCCGAAGGCAGGGTGACGTCAAAGGGCAAATGCCAGGCAATGCAGTGTGATAAGCTTTCGCAGCGAAATTCTGCCTCTGACCAGGAATTTCACCATCACATGATGGGGTAAGGGCTTCGCAATAGACCCACTTCGGCGTGGTCACTGATCCCCGAGATCGATCGAGGTGGTTAAGACTAGATCTAAAAAACTCAGTTTCTGGGTTGTCGTAAAGAAACGGGTCCATGATCCGCTTGGCAGCGGCCTTTCCAGGCTGCCGTAGTTTTTCACATAAGCGTCACTTTACAACCCATGAAGTGCGCTAGTCATGACGGTTTTGGTTTGCGAGCTACATTAAATTATACGTTGCATTTTTTTTATTGTTTTGACAGCTAGGCTTTGAAACGCTTGCGCCACACACATACTACTCAATGAAGCATGTGATCAACTGTTTGGTTTAACGTCAACCCTAGCATTATTCTCAACACCAACATTAATATCCTAGCCCACGATGGGCCAGGGTAGGTAGTGCACGGTCCTGACCCAGCGACGGATTTGGCAGCACTGGAATCCCGCTCAACTATGGTTGAGGATGATGTCAGATGACAGATGTCTCAAGCCTGTGATGAAGTGAGTTAGTGAACGAAACTTTCCCACGGCTCTACTGAGGGTCTTTTTTCCGGGTCAACAGGAGAGAAGTGTGCTCTACAATGACGTCGACCGCAGATTTGCGTTTTTGAACTGCGAACCACGGTATTGCAGGTTCAAAAATATTAGATGCAGGATCGTTTTGAGCGAAAGCGAAGGTGCCTTCGGCAAATATGTTGTTTTGGACTTTCTAACCGTTACATTGTAGAGCATGGCTGAGCGTGGCTGCCGAAAATATGAGTGATCTGAACAGACGGTAAATATGGGCTGCTGGAGAATGACAGGCTGCTGGTATCTCCGAATGCAGTATCAATGTCGAAGTGCGAGATGATTGGTTGCTTTGGTACGCGCGACAGCTGATGTGTTTTGGGCGTATAGGAAATGTAAGCACGAAACCCTACGTTTTGATCTTTGTTCTTACCTCCTTCTTCGTCGTGTCTATTTCATATTTGTTATGTATAATCGGCCACTGAGCTTGGGCCCATGCGTTAAGCCGCAAACCCACCGTCTTGTCCAGCTGCAGAAGCGGTCGTTTCGTGGCGCTGCTGCCTGCAGGCTGGTGGTGAGACTTCTGCGCTGGACGAGGCGGGTCACTCCGCTGCAGCTCGGTCCGACAAGCTTGCTTTGTTAACGGGACATTTCCTGTCTGGCCAGGGTGAGCGTAAGAGGGTAACGACTGGACACCAGGCGCGGCGTGTTTGCAGACGCCGGTGTCTAACTGTTCCCGCCATTAGAGTGCAGTCTGCAGCAGCAGAGAGCAGACGAACGGTGCGCAACTGTAAATGATGCGTTGACATTAGTGTTTCTCCCCACGAGGGCGAGATGATAGAGGTTCAGGGCGGCGATGGTACCTGCAGCTCCCAGTGGTTCTCATGCTGCCCACGCTGGGAACACGCGTGATGTTTACTTTACAACCGTACTAGGCTGTGCAAAAACGTCGATGTTGATTCGCGGCGGCGTAGCCAAAGAACTCTCAGATATCTGACTTGCATAAGAGAACCTTTCCATATGCATCCTGCCCGGCTGCGGCACGAGAGCCTCGCGCCTCGCTTATTCACTGTGATCGATCTGGTCCTAGGTGTATGTCATTCGAATGTCAACGATGACATCATGTCATCGCGTGGCCGGTGCCTCATCTCCCGCCGCGATAATGCAGGCCCTGTCTGAGTGCCGGCCAACGGAGCGGCGTCAACACGACTTTCCACTTAAAATCATTTACATGTCCCCAATACGGCACGACTTGTGTCCACCCGCGCCGCTAGAGGCGCTCCGATCGCGGCCCGGCGACGTGCCTAGCCATGTCGCTCCTCGTGTTACAGAACTGTCCAACGAAGGCAGAGGCGCGCCGAAGTGCCGCCAAGATCGCACTGATGAACTCGGTCTTCAACGAGCACCCATCGCGGAGGATATCAGACGACTTCATCGAACGTGCCGTCGAAGATGCACGGTCGACCTTCAAAGTGAGCTTCTGAACATACTCCCAGGTTGAAACACCCGTCGTCGCCGGGACCTTTGGGGCATGGTCTAGTGGAAAACTCCGCTGTGTTGGGCACACCGTGTGACGTGCAACTCTCTGACACCTTGAGTGTGCTTTCCTAAAAAGTCCATTTCCTTCCCATGCCCTCGTGCCTCGTGGAATGCCATTGTTTTTTGTTTTTTATTTCTCAACCCTCTCTCTTTCTCTTTTCCTTGATATCTCCAGCCTTTATAGCCTTGATGCCTTTAACTCTCACGCTCCCCTCCACTTCCTGTTATCTCACGCATATGCACAGCTGTCCACGATGGGCCCAGCGGCCCACCTCACCGCCCTTCCGTCCGTCCATCCGGCTGTCCGTCCAAGACATAGCCCGCTGCGATGTAGTGGCCAAGACCTCTTGGCGGGACCTCTCGGTCCGATCGTCGCCGCCGCCTCTCCGCGCCGCTCGGGCCGTCCGGTCGGCGTCCCTGTTTTGCCGGGCGCGCGCGCGGCGCGGACATCGCTCATGGCGGCGGCACGTTTGATTCGGACACCGCGGCGCGCGGCGGCCGTGGCGCGCCGCGTCTGTCGCCACGTCACCGCGCGGCTCGATCACGTCCGCGCCGCGCGGCAAAAACCGCCGCCCAGCGGGTGTGAGGGATGGCGGCGCCGTGCGGGCACTCACGCGCGCACGACGGCTGCAGCGGCGCCACACCGCTGTTGGTTATTGTATATGCTGAGTCACTGCGGCTGACGTTTTTAAGTGGCCCACACGCGCGCCGCTGTGTGTATATGGAAAGCAGCCATGCAGCACGCTGGGGCGGCAGGACGTGGCTGCCCGCGATGCTGGTGCCACCATCGTGTCCGCCGCGTGCACGAGATCTCCTGCGGCAGTTGGCGTGATGCTAATGCCTGCCAGTTTCCCGTTATCTTGCCTTAAGTCTTTAGGACCACCAATCCGCTTTCCCGAATCGTGATGTTTGTTGAGGCTTCTGTGATGTTTCTGCTTTTTTGCGGCGGAGGTTGTACGTCCTTTGCGTGCTTTACTGTCAATTGCTAGGCAAATAGCCTTTCAGCGTAATTGAAGGCATTGTCGTTTCGTTGCTGCATGCCGCTCAATTCCGCTTTCCTTTCATCGCTGCTAGCGGAAAACCGCCGCTAATTACGTTTTGAATTCAATTTTCATGAATTAGGGTGTGCTTTTACTTTGGTCGCTGCACCGACATTCCGATTCAGGCCAACGGAAAAGTCGTGTTTGTCTTCCGTGTGATCACCGATGCGAGCGCCATCTATAAAAACCGCTAACGGCATCTATCGGAGTTTCAGGGAAGTCAGGACGCAGCAGATAATCCCAACACCGGCATTGGCGCGTTCCGGTTTATGTTGGAATCGAACAAGGGCAGGACCATGCTGGAGTTCCAGGAGCTCATGACCGTATTTCAGCTGCTTCACTGGAACGGTTCACTGAAGGTAAGCTCCATTGGTGTCAAATGGAATGCTGAACTATTTATCCCACTTGTAATACCAATTCTTAGCCTCGATCCTTTCTCGAAGTTTATTCCCTGTCGTGCAGTAATTACAACAGTTTCTGACAAGGCAGATAAGTGTAAACAAATATCGTGCTTGATTCTAGTTGCAATCTGCTTTCACTTAAGAATCAACGAAATTTCTGCTGATTCAAGGCGGGATGAAATCCTTCCAAAATTTATGTGAGCCGGGGGCAGCCTGGGACCATTTGAGTAGAATGATTGATGAGTCGATGCAAATCGCCTTGATGTTCTTATTCTTACAGCTGTTCTATGTGAGAAAATGTGAGCGTCAGAATACATTGGTACCTTGCTATAGAAATATGAACCCTAAGCTGGCAGTGACGTGTCAAATGAACAGCCCATTTCCCAAGCTGTTGGCGGCAGATTTGACTCCATGAGATTGGCTCCAAAATTGAACCATACTTCCTTCAGTTGTAATCGGAATATATGCTCTGGTGCTCAAAATCACAGCAGGAATCACTGCAGTTTGTTGTGAGCCGGAATCGAAACCAATCTTAACCGAGCAGAATCAAACACATTTCTGCGAGAAATCCAATTTTTTTCGCAGTTGTATGGCTCACATACAGCGCTCATTGCCATCAGATCCCCTTCACTAATCGTTTTACTAGTTATACTATGAACTATCAGTACTGCGGTTTTAGTAGCTTTTATAATTTTGCAATAAAACAAGTAGTTTTTTAGTTTTTATTCATTTCATTTAAACACCATCTCAAGAGATAAAAAATTCGACTCACGGTCATAGAAACAATCATACTGAGGTGAAATGGATCACGCAACTGACGTCATTTGGCGTCTCTTTTCCAACTCCCAGCTGCCGGCAATTGTCAGCGGAAGCTTCAGCCTCGGGGCATTATTATACGGACATGCGCCATGTTCAGTGACACGTTTGGTACGCTTGGGCCTCCACTGCTACGTTGTTTATATCTTAAGCTATAACCTAGTTTCATGGGAAAAACTCGACCACAGCGTTTCAGATGTCATAAATGTGTGATAGTTTCATACGTTTCGTGATATTATATCGCATGCTATTCGCAGTGTCGTAACACGTTTGGTCCATCGGTATGATTTATGATATGCACCATGTTTCCCAATGTGGTCAACCTCCGCCTATCTTAAAACTCGGGAAAGGGTCGACCCGTGCCAGGCCCGTGTCCTCTCCATGTGTGAATGATTTATACCGCCCAAGTGCTGCTTACCGACATCACGCCACGTTAAATGGTTGGCGTCCTGTTCCATGCATGATGGCTCTCGCCATGTGCTGCTCTACGGCGTGTTCAGTTAATGCATGGCGTATCTTCCTTAGCGTGTCTTCCCCTTCTCTCTCTCTCTGTCTCTCTCATTCTCTCTCCCCCTCTCCCTCTCCCTCTGTCTCTATCATTCTCTCTCTCTCTCATTCTCTCTCTCTCTCTCTCTCTCTCCCTCTCTCCCTCCCTCTCTCTCTCTTTCCCTCTCACACGTGAGGCTGGAAATGCGCTGGCTATTCCTGACCTATCGCCCCGTCTTCAGCTGCGCCGGTGCTAGTATATGCCAGCTGCATACGCTCGTTAGCATCTAAACATACATATTGTGGCATATCAATACGACCACCACCAAGGTGTAACGCACCTAACTTCACGCAAAGTGTAATGCCATGAAGGCATTGTCCGTAACTTGGTTGCCCGTCTCACGCACGCCTATCTATGGCGCCTGTATGTGTTGCACCCCTTTACGAGACTGCGTGGGTCCGTCCGTGAACCGCGTCAGGCCTCTCCGCCAGGCGATGCGCGAGCGCCAGTGCTCTCACGCACGCCCTGCCTATGGCGCCTGTATGTGTGGCACCCCTTTACGAGACTGCGTGGGTCCGTCCGTGAACCGCGTCGGGCCTCTCCGCCAGGCGATGCGCGAGCGCCAGTGCTCGCGGCAGGAGGTGGTGGCCCACTACTCACACCGCACCCTCGACGACGACATGCGCTCCCAGATGGCGCTCGACTGGATCGCCAGGGAACAGGTGAGCCGTTGGGGCGGCCGCCGACGGCCAGCGCCCGTGCACCAAGCTGACATGGGCTCGGCTGCAGCTGGCTGGCTGAGACACGGGCACTAATGGCTGCCGCTGAACACAGCACGAACCCGGCTGCAGCTGGCTGGCTAAGACACGGGCACTACTGGCTGCCGCTGAACACAGCACGAACCCGGCTGCAGCTGGCTGACTGAGGCACGGGCACTAATGGCTGTCGCTGAACACAGCACGAACCCGGCTGCAGCTGGTTGGCTGAGACACGGGCACTAATGGCTGCCGCTGAACACAGCACGAACCCGGCTGCAGCTGGCTGGCTGAGGCACGGGCACTAATCACTGCCGCTGAACACAGCACGAACCCGACTGCAGCTGGCTGGCTGAGACACGGGCACTAATGGCTGCCGCTGAACACAGCACGAACCCGTCTGCAGCTGGCTGGCTGAGGCACGGGCACTAGTCGCTGCCGCTGAACACAGCACGAACCCGACTGCAGCTGGCTGGCTGAGACAACGGCACTTATGGCTGCCGTTGAGCTCACTTTGGCTATCTTTTCAACGAGCAGGACGCGTCTTCCTAGCTCCAACACGTAATGTTATGGATCTATATCGTTGCTTAAGGTACGACCGTACGTCTACTTAATAAAAAATCGGGCGTTCATGTGGGTGGCTGATTACATTTTATTGTCGTGGACCTTAACACGTATTATCGGCAAAGCCTTTTTCGGTGCGCGTTATCACCGTGCGTATCATAGGCATTGGTGCATCGCTCAGTGCCTGCCACCCCGCCGTAGGGAGATGACCGGCGAGTAGTGGCGAGTACCCTCGGTATTGACATGTGCTTGGATCTGCTGAATCGGATTCCGACCACGGCCAATGGATCCCGACCCAATCGGTGAACGAAGTTTCGCCAAGGCTCTGCTGGCCCTCGCGTCGTCTTAGCACAATCATATCGTGCCGAACACCCCAGACGGCGGTGTTCACTGATCAGCTTTTGGCGCCAGTGCACGATGTGACGCGGCCGCAGACCACTGACGCCAGCGCCGTTCGCAGGAGATGACCAACATCATCGCGCAGGAGCTGCACGCCGCCGAGGAGGAGCTGGAGCAGGCGCGCCTGGCCGGCCGCGAGCTGCGCTTCCCCAAGGAGAAGAAGGACATTCTGATGCTGGCCTGCGCGCAGCTCAACGGCGTCGACACCATCTCGTAGAGTCGGCGGCGTCGGCAGCGGCGGCGGCGGCCGGCCGGGGCGCGGCGTCCCGGCCGGCCGCCCGAGGGGACGGGGCGTCTGGCCGACGGTCATGTGATCTCAGAGAAGGACTCGGCCGGCCCGGCAGGCTGCGCCCCGACGCCCCCAGCGCGGTGATATGTGCCTGGATAGCTGCTGGCGAGCACAACAAAGTCCGTTCTTTCAGATTTTTTTGTTAAAAAATAACGTAGGTCGTGTTGACAGCTTCGTCGTTTGACAATAGTGCACCAAACGCGTGGCTTCATCTGCTTCACTTTAACAATAGCGCAACCCGGAGACGTGTGGGAGTAGTCGTAATTATACACGACGTGGCGAGGTTAATCAAAGATATGTTTTTATTGCTGAAGGGATGTTTTGCGATGGTTGAAGATTGTTGAAATTTGTATATAGGAATGTCACTTGGAGGCCTGACGCACCTTGTCCAAAGAACGTTCCGTATCGTTTGTAGTTCGGCATTGACTTACAGGACGCCAATATGGACCTATGTTTTCGCTTTTTCTGTGGTGAACGCCCATATTTTGTATAAAATATGATTCTTAAGGCAATTGCTTAGCTGCATGATAGGTGCAACCCGTAATGCTTTGTGCTAATTTATGGAGAACTTTTAAAATATCCCAAATCCTATCAGCTGTGACACCTGTTTCGTTCAGTTTTGTTTGAGTACCCTGGATTTTTAAAATATGAAATCGCATCATGACGTTATGACGGATCAGAACTGTGTACCTGTACTGTTCATGTTGCCTAGTTTCAGAGATCTGTTACTAAACTGACTAACTAAGGTTACACTGGCGCAAAGGTGCATCACTCGAATTGTTTCTCAAGCTGTGTATTTTTTATGGAACTTGGTCTTGGAATGATCGCTTATTACATGCGCTCCGGTTACGTATTTTCAGTAACAGATGCTCTAGCTGGGTGAGCTAGCATATGATATTCCATGGTTATTGATGACTGCGTTGAAATGGCTACGCAGGGCGACGGTTGTTTGTACTAAATACAATGATAGATATGTGAGCGTGCGCTGAATTCTATGGTGCCAACCCAAAAATCACTGGCCATCACGCCGTAACAGTTAGTTGTATTTTTGTTTAGCATCTATTCATCAGTTTATTCGGTATTGTACATAATACGTTATTGCGCAAAGCGACGTGAATATCTGTGCTGCGTTCACGTGCTGTTTTATTAGCTGAACAAATAAATGGAGCCACGCTCTTCTGTGTTGTTTCAAGACTCGCCTACAGGAGCATCCGCTACAAAATGTACAATCAATCCACTGCAGTCGATCGTTACAAAAAGTACGCGTAATGTCCAGACCAAAGAAGCGAAACCAGAGGCGTATCAAAGAATACAACATTTTAGGGCCCCTCCGGAAAAGTCCTGGCATTCCGGCCATAACATTTTCAGATTCTTAGCATACTATTTTTACACGGAAACCCATCTTACTGTGCGCAGGCCTAGAAATTAGGCGCGCTACGCATGCACATATATGGAGCCTATCCATTTTCTCCAGATCATGGTGAATCCTGTTATTTTGGGACTAATTATTTTGGAAAACGTGACAAAAGAAACCACAATTATCACTGCTAAATGCCATCAAAATCAAGGATGCCCTTATTCCGAGTTTATCTAGGGCTGACAGCCGGCTGGTCGACGTGATCATCTGACTGATGACTAATGCAAAGTTATTGCTATGTCTGTGATGAATGAGTACAAAATATTTCAGCCTTTAAAATGTATTAAGAACGTGATGCAAATGTATAATTGGTTAAAAATTCAATATCAAACGGGCATGACACATGCGGCATCGACGGACACGCAAAATTATGTTCCGACGATTGCGCCTAAAAATGAACCTGCCCGTAACCGCTCTCAGGCTAAGGAACCAAGGCCAAGGCGTCGGGCCCCTGAACGACCGGTGTGCGCCGGCAGGCTGATATGTAGGACCCTGGCCAGAGCACATAGTCCTCTGAGCAAAGAGAAACTGTTCAAGACTAATGCGCATGAATCCTGTGTGAAAACCCCTGTGTGACTAAGAGTGCCTGGACCAGTTAACAGAAAGAGGCCCCGACAATAGCGTGGGGTCCTCCATTCAAGTGGAAACACCCAAGACCCAATGAAGATGACCCCCGAACGATGTTAATCTGCCTGGGCAGGTTAACAGATGGGTTCCGGCAAGAGCATAAGGCCCTCTACTCAAATAAGAAGCGACCAAGGCCCAAAGAGATCAAGGGATCCAAGATCAAAGCACAGAGCCGCTGAGCATGGAGTGGCCCGATTCCTTACCTTTTATTGGCCCCAGGAACAGCACAGGCCCTCCAAACAAGTGGAAAGAACCCCAGACCAACATGAAGGGCCTCTGAACAACTGAGTGTTCCCAACACGTGGAGCCCGGCAAAAGAGTGTAGAGTCTTTCGGGCGGGTAGGAAGCATCTGTGGAGGGCCTCTGATCGATCAAGAGTGTCAAAGTATATTAGCAGATAGTGCCCCAACAGCAGAGTAAGGCCCTATGAGAGAATGCAAAGAGATCAAAGGTAACTTGGCAGCCTCCTTAGCGATCAGATTGGCCCGACAAGTGGACATATAGGGTCCCGGCAACAAAATAACGCCTCTGGACAGCGTAAGTAGCCTCAAAACTTTTCCCCAATCACTACTCTCTCAGTCAAGGAAGAATTGATAAGACACTGGTGTCATTCTTATTCATGGTAGAAAACCAGGAGAATGGAGATACGGATTTTTTGATATTTCGGCAGCATGCCTTTATGGAAACGAGTAGCAGTAGTTTAGGTAGTTCTAGCCTTCTGCTATTCGTTTCCATAGAGAAATGTTGCCGAAATATCAACGCATCTATATCTCCATTCTCCTGGTTTTTCTACAAGGGATAAGGACATTATTGCTGTCTTATCCACATGCATAATGTTCGTACCACAACTAACGTAACGAAGAATTAGCGTTGTCTGCTGATGGGCCGATTACTTTCGCTTGCAGCTGTTCTCGGCGTCCGAAGGCCCAAAGGCGTCCAAGTTTTGTGCTTTCGTGTAAACAATTACGTCCGTGCCACTCGTGATGGGCCGTTCAAGGCCTATGAGTCCTTTCAGGGTGCAAGCGGGGGGGGGGGGAGGGGGGCATGGTGCCGTAACCCTCCCCCTCCGGATCCGCCACCGGCCCGATAAGCTGAATAAATCGGGCCCGACAAGAACACAGGGCCACCCATTCAACTAAGAAGCACCCAAGACACAATAGAGAGGGCCCTGGAATGACCCCAGCAAGTAAACAAATGCTGATCCCAACAAGAGCGCAGGGACCTCCATTCAAGCAAGAAATACCCTCGATACAGTGCGGAGGGCGTCCGAACGATCGAGTGCAACCGAGCAGGTCAACAGATAGGGCCCCCAACAAGAGCGTAGGGCTGTCCATTCAAATAGGAGGCACCCAAGGGTCAATGTAGACGGCCCCCGAACGATTGAGTGTGCCAGGGCAGGTTATCGGATAGGACCCACGACAAAAGCGTAAGGCCCTCCATTCAAGACCCAATTTGGAGGGTCCCAAACGACCGCGCGTGCCCAAACAGGATAACAGATGGGCCCGACAAGAGTGTGGTGTCCTAAGCAAGTGACAGAACATTTTAAAGGCCCTCTACCAAGGTAGGGGGCAAATCAGCATATTACGAGTGTGCCAGTAGGTTAACTGAGGCCAACTAACACGCCCCTGAGCAGCCGGGAATGCTCCAGCAGGTTAAGATACAGGACCCCGTCTATAACGTTTTGGGGCCCCCGGCAATAGTGTTTAATGCCTTTCGGAAATGGGAAGAAACCGTGAAAGGTCACTCATTGATAAGGGTTTCCGGTACGCTAGCAGGAAAGGCCCCACAGACAGCGCAGGGCCCTCCAAGCAAATGAAAAGAAATCAAGGGCAACGTAGAAGGCCTCTTAACGATCAGATTGATCCTGCAAGGAAGCATACACGACGCCCGGAAACAGCGTAGGGCTTACCAACAGCGTAATGAGCCTTAAAATCTCCCAATCACCACCACCTCAACCAGTAAATAATTATTTGCGCCCGCTCGTAGGCCCGTCACTTTCAGTCGCGACTGTTCTTTGTTGCCTGGAGGCTCAAATATGTTCAATTTTGTCGCGTTTTGTGTAAAAAACTACATCTGTGCGGCCGGCTCTGGGCCCCTTCAGAATCCAACGCGAGGGGGGGGGGGGTTATGGCCCCGTGTCCCACCTCTGGATCCGCCCATTGGCGAAACAAAGCTACATGTGATGTAATGTTGCATGGAAGCATGTCGACGACACAACAGCCGCGTGGCGTAGGAGGCAAAAGCACTGAGCTCAGTACCCTACATTTCCGTGCTAAATGGCTACTGGCTGGAACTGGATCACCGATCTCCCCTTCCCCACCACCTTCAGGGCTACCCTTGTCCCGTATCGCGGTTGATGTGGTCGGGAAGCCGACCACCAGGAGCTCGTCGAGTCTCGCGACTGGAGATAGTCGACCAGCCCCTGGCGGTCGATCGCTGCACTATTGCCTGTGGTGTCGACCGCCAGTGTCACCCGGCAGCCGCCCAAGCCTCGGCGCGCCGCCGCCGCGCCGTCCTTCGTAATGTATAAGGAGACAACCCCCACCGAAAAAAGACAGCAACGTTGTACATGATCTGCACCCTTCATGAATATTATTTTCATATAACGTATGCGGTGAACATATTTCGATACTACCCATACTCGTGACGACTAGAGCACTGGCGCTGGTATCTATATCACCCCGAAGTGCATTATGACTGTACTGGTAGCTTTTGCAGGGTCTGGTCATCCAAAGTCAGGCTATGGTAAGCTGCTACTAATGTAGCTAGCTGTGAGCATCTGAAGGTCATGCAATTTAAATCTTTGTCGCCTACGCCTTCAAAAGATTTTACATGACCTTTCTAACATTGTTCTCTCCAATAATGTGGCTTACTTAGCTCTTGACATGAACGAGCGGACT